TTTAAGCTGATATTTATATTAAGTATTTTTAAAGAGTTTTGATTATTAATTGTCAAGAGCCATACGTTTTATTTGAAAAATATATTAACTCTATTTTTTTATTTATTCTTATGTAATTTGCTTTTTATTTCTTTAATATTTAACATTATCAGCAATAAATATATGCTTGTTAGAAAATTTTTAAATTTTGAAAAGTGTATCAAAGTGTTGCAAATGTAAAATGTGATAGGTTTTACGAATAGGTATGTACGTGAAATTTTCCATTGAATTTTTCTATCTCTTGGGAAAGAAACTGAAAAAATCCGCTGAAAAATTGAAAAAAAAAAACCGTTTTTCTTTCCAGCCTTTAAAACTATACTTACAATAGGCATCGAAAAATTAAAAAAAAATTTATTTTATTTTTTATTTATTTTATTATTCTATTATTTATATTTATTATATTTCCGGTCTAGTTTTTGGGTGGAAAGTGATCCAAAGGGAGTCAAGATACTTGGATAATTTTCTCTATATGCTGTAGCTATTGTGCACCTTGTGTGGGTCCCTTGTAAAATCATGTAATAAAGTAAATGTTGTAAATGTAAGGAGTTTGAATTACATTGATAATCTTATAAAATTATATTTTCTGCTAATAAGCAAAGTCATGTTATTAAAGTCTTTTTATTATTTATACATTAAAAAGCCTAACAATTATGTTATTAATTAGAAGACATTAGAAACCTAACAATTATTATTACATTAATAAAAAGGCTTTAATAACAAGACTTTACTTATTAACAGAAAATATAAGATTATCAATGTAATTCAACTCCTTACTATTACAACATGATCTTAGATTCAAAAATTTTGTATAGTTTGGATTCAAATCATAGATCGAATTGAATCAAATCTTATCTGATTTAATTTGATTTGATTTGTATTTGAATAGTTTGCACATTTCTAATATATAATATAGATACAACTGTATTCAAGTTAACAATGGTTTTCTTTAATTACTCAATATGTACATATGATATGATATACAATATGTACACTACATTATATGTATTTCATTTACCATATAATTACTCAATATGTACATATGTATAATATATAATATGTACACTACATTATATGTATTTCATTTACCATATATTATATAGTTAATCGCAACTAAATTTATATTATTCATTGATAAATATCTTTTTAATTATTTTATTATTTTATATTTTATGACAAAATAGTTATACCTCTTCGTAGACCTGCACCAAGCGTTCTCTGTAAGTTGCTTCCAGCTGCATCTTAATGTTTTCTTTTTTAATGTCCATTATCATTTTCTGTCCATCCAAGCTTGACTGTACTTTCTTTTCATGCAAAATTAGATCTTCATATTCAGCTATTTCATTGTTCCTAGTATCATCAAGTTCGTTCTGATATTTATCTATTCCTTCATCCAATGTCTTAGCAAGTTTTGGACCAAATAGCTTTACAGTTGCTACACATATTATGAATAGAGATATTCCATTGTAAAATTCGTGTTCCAGGACATAAATTTCTTTGGAAACTAAATAAGTGCCCACACTTATAGCAAATACATATGGTCCTAAAAATAAAATAACAATGATAATAAAAAGATGTTACTTTAAATATTACAAAACAATCTCTGATATAAGAAAAGGTAACGTTTTAGAAAGTTAAAAGTTTAAAATAAGTTCTTTTATACAAGATTTTTTTAGAAACAATTTATTTAAAAAAAATTAGAAACTTAATACTTTTATTTTCTGTTAACTTAGATTATTTTCAAAAATTTTCAAAAATATATTAATATATATCTCATAATATCTTTTTTAAAATATTATTTAGATAACAGAAGATTTCTTTAAAATAAAATTACTAAATTAATTATATGATAAATTAAAGAATTTTATATAAAGCATCATCTATATTTCTTCATTTTTTTTCAATAGAAATCTTAAACTTTTTGTTATTTATATTAAAAAATCATCTATTTTCTAGTTATAAAAACATATTACATAATAAAACATTCAAAATTAATATATAGATTAATCTAGATAGTCAATACTATCCATTGGCGATTACTTACCTGAAGCACCAGTTTTTGAATAGAAAGCTTGAAACCATTCCTCGGGTATAAATCCATGTCTAACTGGAGATGGATCAATTAAACGTTTAGGACGAGTTGATTCTGTTGCCATTAACGAAGCACTTTGTGCTCCACGAACAGCCGTAGACAGCAACTGAGCTATGATAGATAATATTACCATAAAATTATAAGTTTCAATTTGAATTTTTATACTTCTTTGATATACTTACAGTAAAATATTCAATATATTTGATTTTTATATACATATATGTATGGATAAATATATATATATATATAT